CTGCGTTCACGAGTACATGGACGTTTACACGGAGATACGCACGGACAACACGACGAAGCTAATAGAGACGCCCTTCGGAGGCAGATACTGTGGCCCCATTCCACCCCGGAAGCGAGTGTCCCTCTATCAAGGCATAGCCCTCAGCTTTTATACGGATAAGAACGTAACGCTGCCAAGCCTCTTCGACGGCCGTTACGCCTTTATCAATGCCTGTGAGTAAGCTGCCAACTGACTTGCGACCAATCTCTTTCGCGAGATAAATCTGCGATTTGCTATTAGACGCCGCGCTGGCTTTATCCCGTGGGATTTAAAATTGAATGTCCAGCGTGAGCGGAAGGGGACGGTGCGGGAGGAGGGGCGGGAGGGAGGAGGGGAGAGGGACCCGGGAATCGCAATGTTAAAGTTATGCATTAAAGCTATCAATAGACGAGGAATTCTTGTCGTGTCAGTTTTTTTTTCTTTTTCTTTTTCTTTTTGTATTTTTTGTTAAACACCCGGGGCTGGATATACTTACTTGTACTTACTTGTACTTACTCGGACGGATGGGACTCTGATTTAATCCGAGGAAGATTCACTGGCACGTCGTTCCTCTCGGTGCAACGATCGTAATTCAATAATTTTCCCTCGGAAAATCCCTACGGGATGAGAATTCGGGTGCGAGAGCTCCACCGACTACGCGCCACTTTAAAAATGTTCGCCCTTGTGCTTTCAGCGGAATACGAGATAGGAACGCCCGCCCCGACACTCCCCTGCTCCTTCATCATCAACGCGGACGTCAAGCGCACGGGGAACATCCTCTCGCCCACGTATCCGGGCACCTACCCGAAGGATCTCGTATGCAGTTACCAGTTCATAGGACAGCCCAGGCAGAGGGTGCGCCTCGAGTTCCGTGACTTTGATTTATTCTTTGGTGGCCCTCAGTGAGTAGCAGGGCATTCTAGGCCAATAGTGGTCGATTTGTCGAGTGCGCGGATGTTGATAGAGCGCGCGCTTCCATTACGGAATATTGCAATTACCGATTATTATAGTTTGAGTTGGAGGGAATGCGCAGCTATATTAAATGTCTAGAGATATTGAACGATATTCTGCGATATAACGTCATGTAAGCCGGGCATTCGTGTTCGCATTATCATTCGTGGGAGATCGATCGATTTTGAAAATTCGCTTTTAATATTCGTGTAAATTAATATGTAGCTCGTAGCGAATTATTTCCAAATCCGATGGACCAAATAACATTGACAATGCGGTTCGTTTATTTTCTTCAATTGTTCTTCAGCTTGGTAGCCGCGACAATTATCTAGCCACGCGTAATTACAAATTTAATGGAGAGGCATTGAATTACGAATGATGGCAAGTCGTATTTTAACTTGTAACTGCTCGCGCGATTAATATTATCCAATAAGAAAGGATAAAGATGAGAATGAAGAATCGGCGCTTATAATATCGTCGGGTATGCTTCGTTGATTTAGTTATGTGTATTTGCAGTTGCCCTTTCGATTATGTGAAAGTTTACGATGGTATCAACAATACTTCGGCTGTGATTGGCACATATTGCGGTCAACAGAGAAATTTGGTTCTCTATTCCTCCGAATCGAGTCTCTTTGTGTTATTTGTCACGCTTCAGCGGACCGCCAATACGCAAAATCGCGGATTCAAAGGAATCTTCGAATTTTCCGAGAGCTTTGTCAAATTAGGTAAGTCCAGTAATTAATTCATTGCTCTCATCAGCACGATATCGTTTATAATCTCTCTGTAATCTCTGAATTATATGGATTCAGCTTTAAATTTTTTTACTATCAGTGCTCGATGAATGGCTGCTATGAGCATTAAACGAGTATTAAATTGCAATAAATTATACAATTATAATTGCGCGATTACATTTTCAATAAGACGTCTCGTGATGAATTTGTACTTTAATTGTAATAATTTGGCAGACAAATGATGAAATGATTAAATGTTAAAATATCATTGTTATTGGCGCATAATCGACGCCAAAATTTAATCATTACGACTTGTAGGGCAATTATATTAGCCGACAGGAGCAATAAATAAAATGAAAATAACTCTTTTTCACCGTAGACTTTATTACGAATTATGGTGGTGAGCATATACGGGGAACAGAGTGCGACCAAAAAATTCTCAGCAAAAAGGAATCAATCGGTTCTGTCGTTAGTCCGAATTTTCCTTATCCTTATATTCCCAAAGTGGTCTGCCGTTATTTCATCTATGGGATGCAGGATTCGCAACATCTGGAACGCGTCAGACTCGAGTTCTCAACGTTCGTTATTCCAAAGGGCGAGACGAAGGGAGAGTAAGTTTTGTAATTGAAATAATTAGCTTCTCTTCATGCGCACTGAAATTAAATGACAATTGCACTTGTATCCAATACTTTGATATTCAAGCTCAAAATTTTAATTAACATACGTTGCATTAACTCTCACATTAACTTATGTGACGTCCTTGCTTCATTAAACTCACCATTACCATCGTTAAATTAACTATTTGAATTCATGTCTTGTGATATTTTTTAGTTCGAGCTGTACGGACGGCTATCTGAAATTGTACTTGAAAGGTCAAGAGGCCACGGACTCGTATGACAAATTTGACTACGAGTTATGCGGAAAGGACAACAATCCTGGCCACGTTGTGAGTGATGGGCCAAGACTCGTTATGGTATTCAGCAGCGGAGAGCAGCAGGGCAGAGGATTCAAAGCAAAGTGAGTTGGTGATTATTTGCTTATTAAAAAGATCGGCTGTCGTTGAAGAAAGTATTGCCATCCGGGATGGGACTTGGCATTAATTCGATTTCTTTCTCAAAGAAATAATTTAATTTTTCATGTCAAGCTACTAATTTCAAACTACTTTATACGCATTTAGTTTTAAGAAGAATTTGACAAAGTCAAAAACTTTTAAGGTAACTTTTCATTTTTATTATAAATTATCATCATCATCATCATCATCATCATCATCATCATCATCATCATTATTATTATTATTATTCATATAACATTATTAGTCTTTAAGAAAACCTTTCGCCGATTCTTTGTCATATTATTTTAATGAATTCAATCGTACAATGCCATAATATAAATATCATTCTAGCATTTAGTTTTTGGAATATATTTTCTATGGGAAATAATAGTAGCAAGTAGTTGGGAAAAAATTTGAAAAATAAAAAGCTAGTTTTCCCGTCAAGTACTAATCTCGCTCAACCACTTTTTCTCTCGAGCACTTTTTCTTAATCAGTCGATTAATGGGCCACGGGCATGCAAATACTACGCTCGAAAATTTAATTTGATTTTTGTTAAAATCCTTGGACGTGAAAAAGAAGCGGATGAAGAAAGATGAGGCGACATTCGTCATTATTCACGGCATTAATTAATTATTCGATATGCGCAATGTAGCAGCTCTAGGAGCTCTCGAGCTTATTATTTATTATATTACCTATGACCGTCCGATGAATTCGAGTTACTTACGATAACGCGGTAAATCTTCCATTGGCAGACGGGAGCTGCCACGAGGACATCAATAATATTATAAAGGTCCGTTGCTCATCATCGATTGTTTAGGTACGTCTTCGAAACGGAGTATAGAATACCAGGTACAGCGGCACCAGACGGCAGCTGCACGTTCACCTATCGCAGCTCCTCGCGTAAGCGCGGTGAATTTAATTCGCCTCGTTACCCAAGCAACTACCCGAGTGACACAAATTGCACTTATCTCTTTATGGCAACGCCGAATGAGCAAGTCACACTGGTCTTCGATCATTTCAAAGTCCGGACGAAGAACTACAATGTCAGCGGCCATTATGGGTATGGCTTTACCAGTTAAATCAAAGAGAAAAATCAAAGACAAAGAGTCCTGTCGTTAATTGGTTTTTTTTTTTTATTTTTATTTTTTTTTTTTTTTTTTTTTTTCTTCTAATTCAACCACAACCACGTAGACGTTCGATAAATTAATGCTTCAAGATGCTCTTCAAGACTTTTAATATAATGATAATATTATATTACTGTATATTATGACCATATTTGTAAAAAATGAACCGACTGTGGCATTGCTCAAAGCATTTAAAATTATCTCGAAATCTTTCTTTGTACAATAAAAAAAAAAAAAAAAAAAAAAAAAAAAAAAAAAAGAGCGAGCTCGAGTTATGTTTATGAATGAAGATTGAATACGTAAGTACGAAAATACTCGAGTCTAATTAAGTCACAATGAATGAAAAGACTCGATTGAGTAAGAAAACGGACAAATTTAAAATCAGCAAGTTTTGTTGATTATCATGAGCAATGATGAATCGAGCATTACGTAAAAGCATATATATATATATATATATTCGCTAATATTGAGCTAATCATCGATGTTTATAATTTTCGATGCAGCGTTGAGTATTGCCAAGACGACTGGGTAGAGATTTATAATATGTATCGGGACAACACGGAAAAACTGATAGGCAGGTATTGCGGCATGACAGCTCCAGGTCCGGTCGAGTCGACTCTTGGTGCTCTTGGTGTCAAGGTTATTCTGCACACCGACTCAGATCTCGTTTATAGTGGATTCAAGGCGCGATACATATTTGAAAATGCCAAGTCGATTTTTGGAGGTAAAGTGATATAATATTAAGAAACTAATTATTCTCCACTCTCTTTCCTCACTTTTAAATAATTTTACATTTAAATTACAATGGAATGCTTTAGCGCGGATTACGTAGTTCAATATATTATCTTGTAATTAAAATATCGTGCAAGGCTTAATGAACTAGTAAAGCTGCAGGTTTGCTTTTAAATATCTTGATTAAACTTTCATTACCTTATCATTTACTCAATAAAAACAAAAACAAACACAAAAACAAAACCAAAAAAAAATAAAAACAAAAACAAAAACAAAAACAAAAACAAAAACAAAAAAAAACAACATTCTCTATCAAAATTAGGGGATAGGTTTAAGCGAAAACGTATTATATTTATAGATTGTGGTTCGAATATAAGCAGCTTGCATTACGGTATCATTACAAGTCCGAATTTCCCAAACAAATACGATGCGCCATCACGGAATCTCGCTAGTAAAACTTGCAACTGGTTCATCAGTGTCAGACCGAATCACCAAATTCTCCTCAATTTTGAGCTTTTCTCGGTGGAAGGCGAACAGTCAGGTATTATTAATGTTCTCATTTGCGTTCAGCTTAAAAAAAAAAAAAAAAAAAAAAAAAAAAAAAAAAAAAATGAAATGCAAATTTCTTAAATAAACTTTATCTTTTATTTCATTGAAGCTCGAGGATGCCCGGCAGCTGTGCTACGAATGTGGATTTCGCCACAAAATACGCCACTCGAATTGTGCGGAGTTAAGGAGCCCGAGGAGAAGTGGAGTCACGTTTCCGATGATCACAACATGCGATTGAGGTTCAATTTATTATCATTTGGAATTCTTAAAGCTTCGGCAGCAATTATCACTACTTATTATGACATATCGATAGTTTCATACAATTTACGACCACCGATCGAGTCGAATATCTTGATAAAATAATTTCATAATCTAATACGTCTAGTTATCTTTAAATACACATTCAAAGATTTATATATTTTGCCTTATAGCTTCAGACACTTAAATTATGAGTAATAAAAATCTGTAAGCTTTTGTAATAGTGAAGTCTTTAAAATTATTAATGTAAATAAATGATAATTTAGGGCGAAACTCACATGAGGCTAATATAATAATTTACTAAAGATCAGTTTTTATTTAGAGAAATGCCTAAAAAAAAAAACATTAATATTTTATTATACAATGCACATTGTTATATTATTTATTTAAATCGATTGAAAATCATATCCGAAGTTTAGAATGTTATGCACGCATGGAACGTAATGCTTATGTTAACGAAAATTCATAGTCCACGTAGTGGAAGATAATGAGTGCGACCGTGAGATCGAAGATCACGAATTTAATGATTAATGGCGTTAAATAGTAGGGATAGATTTGCAATTCACTCTCACTATATTTTTAAATTTAAAAAAATTTTTTTTTTCGCCAATCAATACGTTAAATCATTTTGTTTATGTCAATATTTAATAAATCGTTGTATACTGTTTTAAAAATTTTACTTGCTAAGTGGAATCGCTTCTCGATTTTTCTATATTGTTCGTTCTTGTCCGTTATTTCATCTCATTTGGCATCCTCTAGATCTTTAATCTTAATAAGTTTCGTGCGCTCAATGATGCGATTACGGGGGGTCAATGCGTACAAAGAATGAACTATCCATTCTCATTAATATTTTCAGTGAATTATAGGAAAATTAATGAAGTAATCTTTCCAATGAGTCATGCAGTGTTAGAATTGGAGATCGTGATTACGATTGTCGGTATTTAAGCTCGCTGAGCCAATGTCGGTATCGGCAATCCCTCTAATCACAATAATCGGTACGACTCTCCAATTCGTAGACTACAACTTCCCTTTAATTGCAATAGCGCACGTAAAGCTCGGCATACCCGACATAATACGACATATAACAGAAAAATCTTCGACAGTTTCCTCTCGGCCGACAAGGCCGTCGGTCAGCAAGGCTTTCGAGCCATCTGGACGGAAGTTACCCAAGACACCGAGTGCCACAGCGGCTTCCTGTGCATGCGCAGTGGTTACTGCATCGACGAGACGCTTAAATGCAACAATGTCGACAATTGCGGTCCCGAGGACACCTCTGACGAAGATCACTGTAAGTCTGCCCCTTGGACATTCTTCTCCTTCCTCTACGATTAGACACGTAACATCGACTCGTCCACGTTGTATAACTGAATAACGAAAAAATAATAACAACAATGAGACAGATATATTTAACAGAGAAAGATGAATATTACGAGCACTCTTATAAATAACAACTTTTTCGATGTTGGATTCGCTTCCACTTTTATGATATTTCTTAAATACATATACACATATACGTAGCATAAGTTGTTTGCGTATGTAATTTTACATGGACATGGACTTGTACAGTGAATTTAAGACCTTATGGACGTGGATATTTCAGCATGAAAACGGAATACATTTGCTCATGAATCGCCTAGTAAAGAGTTTTTTATGTCAAATAAATACAATGATATATCGGTTAATTAAAATTTGCTAATTTCAAAAGTTTAAATAAATTGAGTATCTTACCGACTATACAATAAAGCTTATTATAGTTTTATTATAGTAATCCGCTTAATGTTACAAACGTTAATTTTAACGATTATATGATTATATGAGTTGTGCTGATTTGTCTGCGTATGAGTGTAACATATCATCCGCAATTGACTACGTGTATAATATGTATAAATCTGCATCTCAATACTTAAATATATATTGAGAGTTTCTATTTTCAATGTCGTCTTCAAATACTTTCACTGCTGTTTTGCCAATATATTTTTGTACAACTAATACACACACCGACGCACCTCAACCGATCGCATACAAATAATATATAATATAATATAATATATTTTTTTGGTCATATGCATATTTCGATAAATGAAT